AAGGGTTTTAAAGAGTTTTGCAAGTGCTTCTTTGGCATGCTAGGCAGTGAGCTTCGTGCAGAAGTCAGAATCAAGAGTCTGGATTTCTGGAGACGAAATGTTAATGCATGGTAACGCGAGGACTTGTCATCCAGAATGGGTTAATGTGGTAACAAAACAGCAGTGTTTCTCCTAAGTTCAAAACGGAGCTTCTTAGCAAATCAGCTGCCTAATGCAAAAATACAAGCAGAAACCAGACACGGAGGTGAATTGCCTGAGGGTCTCACATATTTCAAAGCAGAGAAATGTAATGATATCTTAAAGAGTTATAGACAAGCCAAGGAATACCTGTGGCATCTGATTACAATAATAGAAATTCTGCTGAAAGGCTTAGGAAGATTAACAATATTAACCTTGCTGTCTTATTTATCCCATCTTCTTTGATAAGCAAAGCTTCAGTAATCCAATGTCAGTGGCTCTAAGGTGTTGGTTGTTGCCATTATTCTCACTTGAAAATAAGTATTATATATTATTTAGGTTAATGTCTTCACTACACATGATGACATACTTTTACCTTAGACAAAATTGAAATCATGAAAGAAGAAGAAACAGGGCATTAATTACAGAGCTTTAAAAGTTCTGGGCCCTGATCAGACTAGCACTGCAGAAATAACTGTGACATCCAAAAACTTACTGCCTCTCAAGCCAAGGCTGTTTGCTTACATGGATCAGCAGATGGAAAGGATTGGCTTAGATCCTGTTTACAATAAGGGCAAAGTGTGCAAGAAAAAGAAGTCCTATCATTGTTTTCTAAAAGGAGGTCAGCAAACCATGAAGATACCCGAGCAGATTTGGGACATGTAATAACATCTCTGCTTGGTTAACAAAAAAGCAAAACCAAACAAAGGTGAGCTGATGGAAAGTAGTCTGCCTGGCCTGTGACACACAGGGTTTTCTGTAGGTTGAGTCTCTGTTTGGGTCACAGATTATGAACCAAAGAGTATAAACAGCAACAGCAGCACATCAGACTGGAGGATAACAGCTCTTGCTTGCATAGATGTGCCTGTAGGCAAGACAACACAGATGTTTGATATTGCCTGGCACATGGGATTCAGCAGCAGCACAAATCTCCTTGTTCATTTATTATCAGTGATTCACCCTGTTTAAATATAGACAGATACTGTCGTGGTGTTTGGGTTTTTGTTGTTTTGGGGTTTTTTCTTTCAAAATGCTAACCTAGCTGAAATCCAGTTTTGTTGGAAAAGGATTTGGGTGAACTTGCTCAGATAAACTCACCCCATTTACCAACTGTAGAGTCTGCAGCTTTGGTCCCAGAGAAGACCAGCTCATGGTGGTATTTGAGAGCCCTCTGTTTTTAGGTCATTTAATGAGCAACACCATTGTTCTCCTGGCATCCTATAGAGAGTGACTCACAGGACAGTGTGTACTGCTACAGTGATCCAGGACCAGGTCCCAGTCTGCAGTTATCCCCATGTCAAATCTGAGTGGCTCCATCCAGCTACTTTGGATTTAGACTGGTAAAAAAGAGATCAAAAAGCAGCTGCTTTATTTCTACGTCTCCTGACTTTTCAGTACATTTAAAAATTGTAACCTTCCTATTACTATAACGTATGGTTTTATACTTAATATTCAGCTATAAATGCTGAAGGATGCCAGACCACAAATCTGGACCCATCATTAGTCTGCCAAAAGGCATAGTGGAACAGCATGTTTATGAAAATGTTGCTGTAACTGATAAATCGACATTGCTTAAAAACATCCAGAACTATTACACATGGCATCTTTAAATTTGTCCTGCGCTAACTGCTTGTGAGATATTGACTGAGTCATTGAGCCATGTACGTGAATTACATGTAGCAGGCCTGATTCTCAAGCTTTTTCTTTAGACATCTGTTTGTGAGAGTAGGCACAAGGCACTACTGGCCTTGTTTGGGTCTGGAATAGCTGTGCCTCCCTTGTACCTAACATGAAAAGCACAAGACATCAGAGAATCAGACACAGGTAGCATCAAAAGGCAGTGACACATTATAGCAGGTAGCCTTTAACAGCATTTCTGAGACCAAGTCCTAGGACCACTGGACAGGATCACTGGGAGCTGGATAAGCATGTAGACAGGTTTCAGGCTCTGAGCAGCTTTGCTATTGTGTGGTTTCCACTTGCTTTTGTCCTTGAGTTTGGTGGAGAAAAATACTCAGGTTTTCCATTTTAGCACTTTTCACCAAAAAAATGGAAATCTCTCAATAAGTAAGTTTACCAGGAGCTGAAAACCTGTCATATGCTTTCGTCCAGTAGAACATTTCAAGGTTTTATTCTTACTCTTTTTGTTTCTTCTTCTGACCATTTTAGAATGACTGCATCCTTAAACACATGCTGTAGCGCAAACCTATCTGACTCCCTATTTATTTAATAGGAGAGGAAGGGAAGTAGTTCTTTTGCACTGGTGGTCGTTTCAGGACCATCTAGGACATTAGCACAACACACTGGATAAATAAGTATTATGAGAGTATTGTGTTTCTTTGTACATTCCTTCAATTTCATGCTTAATATAGCTGTCCTAACATGTGCGGCATTCACTTCTCAGACCATTATTAGGCTTAGTTTTAAAACTGCAGCAGGAGAACTGAGTGGAAAAGTACTGTCACATGGATCACAGTGCCCATTCCACCTTGAAAATAAATGTTCTGGGTTTTTCCTGCCTATTAGCAGAATGCATCCAAACAATGAGAAGGTTAGTGATTGCTTTGAATGCTACATCAATAATGGGTGGATGGATGCCATACTGTGATGTAAATCATCTTGAGTGGAATTGCATCACGTCAGAAAAAAACACAATTTGCAATCCCACTTCTAGACTACAGCAGACTCTACTAGAGTAAAGTAAGAAAGTGCAGAACACTATAAAAAGATTGCTAAATGGAAACAGCAACCTTTGCCATCTGAGGCTTGGTGATCACTGCATGAGCCGCTAACAGGGTGGGTTAAACAGCTTGCCAGTATTGAGTGATTCCAATGCTGTGTGTTTCTGTGGTCAGTTAAAGCAGTGCCTGCAATAACGTGATGTGTTGTTAGCAAAATGTTTTAAATGCTACCCTAAAGGGAGGGAAATTTTAGCAAGGCTTTTCTTTTTCAATATATCATCTGCCAAGCCCAGTCATTTTTATAAGGTGCAGGAGAGTAGCCAAGAAAATGAAAAAAATAAATAATATAAGTATATATATATGTATGTATGTATGTACATATAAATTGTAGGGGGAAGGATGCTTAAAAAGTGTATTCATCAAATATGGCAAGGAAAGTGAATGTGGTGAAAAGTTTGCAATTTTACTGCATGCTGAAGATATTAGTTAGTATTTAAACAGGACAAAACTGTAATGTCATCACTGCCTTAGAAAAAGGTGCTGACAGCCTGCATAAGCAAACGTTTATCTCTCCCATCAGATCTCAAGCCAATGTGTTTGTAGGGGACTGCTGTAGGAGCTCGGCTGGGACTCCGAGAAGGCTCTGGTGTGCTGCCTGCTTGTGAAACATAACCCCCAGCATGCAGAAGGAATACATCTTAAATAATCCTTTCTTAAATTGTGTATTTACTTCTGAACAAAACACCCTGTCAGATAAGTCAGTTGTCAGAAGGAGATGTCTGAGAAGGGCAGTCTCCACAGAATCCCTGTGCCTGCCTGCTGGCTGACCTCAGGTTCACGTGGTTCTGACCTTTTGGATACATCCTTTCAGATGTGAGCCCTTTGGTAGCTCCCTGCTCTGTAACACTGCATCAAGAGAGTAACCATGAAGTGAGAACATGTTTATGATCTGATCTGGAGCCTTTGGAGTCAATGGCAAAGCTCCTGTTGACTTTCTTTTGTGTAGGTCTGAAGCTGTAACGCTATTCTGTTGAGCCACATCCGTGCCAAGGCACTGATAAGACTCATGGCCCAGATGGGCCTCCCCCAGGGTCCTCTCCCACACCTTGCCTAGAGGCCAGGAGCCCCATTTCAGCTTCAGTCCCTGCCAGAGCACTCCTGGAAGAGGGTTGGTCTCCAGCTCCATCAGAACTGTAGGTCCTCTTGTTCTGGACTCTGACCCATGCATTCCCTTCACAGTTTGACTTTGGCTCAGCGCCATCACCATGAACTTGCCCAGTGATCTGGGCCCTTGGCTGAACCTGGCTGCCCCGTGGCCTGCCCTGCCACCTGGCTGGAGTGGTGGGACAAGCCCTGTCTGGAGGAGAAGCCCTGCCCTGCCCACCTCCCTGAGGACCTCGCCATTCTCAGCCCCCAGCAGTCCTCATCCTGCTGCGCCCTGGCACTGGGGCTTCTCCATGTAAAACAAATCTAAAAGAAGCAGCTCACTTCTCCCTTGCCACTTCCTTCCTCATTATCAAGCCCTAATGCTGGTGAGGGAATGGCCACCATCCATGTGAGGAATGACGCATGGCTTCCAGTGGGGTTGTTCATCCGTGTTACAGCACACTAACAGTTCACAGATTAGTGTCATCTGATGTTTATGGGGAAAGTGTTGAATTTACTGCTCCATTACAAATAATTTCTACTGTTCCAAATTAAATGCGGTTTTCAACACAGTACCAGAAATGTCCTGGCATTCCCAGACGTGCGTGCTCATGTACTCCTCAGGGCAGTGTGGGTGCTGGCTTATCTAGGAAGGTGTCCTTATGTTCTGCTCAAAAAGCAGTGTCACAGACTGCTTACAGAATTTATCTCTCTGAATAGAAGGTTAAAAAAACTATTTCTAATTTCAGAATATATAGTTTTTCTGCCATTAGCAGCATTTTAGTACTCTTTCTAGATCTTCTTCAAGGTTTCAACGTTAAAATAGATCAAAAGATCTATTTTATTCTTACTTTGCAAAATTTCTTGCAAGCTATTTACAGATCCAATAGATAAAATAACTTCCCATCAGCTATACTGAAAATGAAGGGGAGTGTAGCTCATCCAAACCTGTCTGATTCTCCTGTTAATCTCAGCAACCTATTTCTATCCCAACAGGTGTAGTTCGCCAGGTGAGGCCCATTGTTGGACCTTTCCATGCCATCCTGAAACTGGAGATGAACTACGTCATGGGTGGAGTGGTATCTCATCGTAACATCGTCAATGTCCACATCTTTGTCTCTGAGTACTGGTTCTGAGAGGGTGTTTAAAATCCCAGACAAACAAGCCGCTCCAACCTAAATCATTACCACAAACTATTATGTTATATACTTGTTTGTAAAACCCAATAGTGGGTTTTTTTTGTTTTATTTTTAAATATTTGGTTTATAGTTTAAGACAAATAACAAATTATTATGTTGATTAGACATAGAGTGGAGCAAATTAAGTGAGCCTGATGTAGTGGTCTGTATAAATAAGTAGTGTGTAAAAGTGCTCAGCTGCCTAGTGAAATTTAAAACTTTTTTAAATGTTTAGGCAGATCTTAACTACTGCTCCTTGGCCAGATAACCAGAGTGACTGAGGATGTGGAACAAAATAGATGTCAGACTTCATTGGGATGAATGTATAGTATCTTTGGATGGCAGAAGTTTGGTAAGGATTAGTAATTTCACCTCAATATTAACTACATTGAAGGAGTCAGATTGTCAGAAAGTGCTAAATACTCACTTTTGGGCCCCAGTGGGATAACTCTGAACAGGCACCCAGAATTGCTAATCATTTCTGAAAAGTTTAGCCTAGATATTTAAAAAGCACCATTCAGCTATAGCTACAAGAGGATGTGCAAAAGGAATTAGAAATAGTAAGAGACTAACAAGCTATTGCACATAGTAAAAAAATGCTCCTTTTTTGTACTTATTATTTGATTGTAAGATTATGTTTGATTCTAATTAAACAATTACCTCTTATTGAACTTAACCTGTTACAAGGATAAGGCATATTGCTTAAATTCCAATCTCATCTGTACCCATCAACACATGGGAAACTCAGACCTGTATCTCCCGTCTATTATAGAGTAAAGCTCCATACCTTCATAAAATTGGTAATAAAATTAGCATGTTGAACTGTACACTTCCTATGCACCAAACCAAGGCATATGTAATAATATGAAACTCTCACAAATAAATGAATGTTTAATGTATTTTCTGGGCATCAAAGTAACATATCTTTTTTTATTATACAACAGAAAATAAATAGCTCCGTGTTTCAGTTTGTTATGTTTGTTAAGATATGAGGAAATAAAGTCAGATGAGAAATACTCAGAAGTATGCTATGGTTTCTGCTTACCAGAAAAATTGTATGATATATCTCCTGTAACCAAATTAACTATATGTATATATACATTCCCCACTCAAAACAGTGCACTGTTTCATTTGTCATTATTGGCACTAGGCATTTGTCTCCCTTTTATACAAAAGCCCCTGAAGCTTAAGGGAATCTTTCCATTGACCTGAATGATCTTTGAATAAGAATAATTAGGATCATCCTTTCTGATCCATTGCAAATAAAAGACCATAGCAACTTTACTGTGTACGTACAGATGTCTTCGTTCCATTCTCTATGGCAGAGAAGCTTCTCTGCCTGCAGCGTTTTCACTCCTTAAATTAAGATTTTATGATAACCCATTCTTGCAAATAAAATTTGACTAAAGGGTACCCTCTTGATGGTCTTTGTTCCCCACACACACTTACAGAGCATCCCAACCTCATACATAGCCTGGTTTTTAGGATGCCATCAGCTTAAAATGTGTTCGGTGTTGTCAGTGGCTACCTCTACAGTACTTATGATTTCAATAAATAGTTACCGTATTTCTGTAGAAAAATTATGTGAAGCAGATATGTTCGTAGCAGGTAACCTTCATCATTCAACTAACTGATGGAGATTTTGGAAAACTCCAGATTACAAGAGATACTGTTGACTTCAGGGATTACCAGCCTACGTAGTTCTGATTTAGACTGGAAAGCAAAATGTTTTATTATGCTAATAGAGTCCAAGAAAAGGAGGATGACTCTCCTGAGTTCTTTTTCTTGCCAGTGTAAGAAAAGTAAGGAGTCCTAGTACCAAAAATACAAAAACTGTTTCCATCTGATTTTCTAGACTGTAATTTTTGATCCTTTATTTCCTTTGTAAGTGGTATTTAGTTGCAGTGGAAAGAACTTTAGGACAGCAGAAATCTAATTTTAGGATCAAACTGATGAACAAACTAATTTAGAAACTTCTCCTTTCTGTAAAGGAGAAACCACACACCATGACAGACACACACCTCTCCCCTTCTTCTGTCCACATTTTTGAGTAAAAATAAGATAGAAGAAGGATTACCACTACTTCCTGGAAAACTGTTTTCCTACATTGTCCCAAATAATCTTTGAAAATTGCAAGCAGCTTTTTAAATAGTCCTGATGTCATATGAGAACACTGATCCTGTAGATGATTTTATGTTTTGTGTATAATAAAATTAAAGAGTGCTTAGTGCTGTGGTCACTGTGACACGTCTTAACTTTTAATAGATCAACATAGAAAAACTAGATAATTCAGTAATGATAGGGAGGATTAAATATTTCTCTCATCCAAACCTGTGACAATAAAGTTTCATTTGTTGCAAATGGGACAAGGTAAAAACTATTTGTAATTTTTATTGGCAAATCATCAAAGCGATTCAAGTTGAAGAACGTGCTTATGAAATTGTCACTGAGATCCACTCACCTTGAGGGCTTTTCTTTTGCTATGCTCTCTGTTGATCAGATCTAAGTTCAAGTCATGTTAATTGTGGGGAAACAGAATCACAAGTAAAGGAGCATTTAGAAGAAAATGAGAACAAGTATAGACTGCTGAGTGTTCATTAGTCTGCTTTTTAAGAGTCATCCACTCCGTCATACACAGAATGATATCATGTGCCTTGGAAAAACAATCACACACCGTTAAAAGAATGAGCAATAATAACATACAATTACAGATACTACATAGGATCAAATTACCTGATAAACTACCTTATTTGACACTAGATGAGTATGGAGAGACAAAAATCACTCGAATGAGCAAAGGTTCACAGGTGCTAGCCAGATTCCCAGTGGGAGGAGCAGCAGGTCTGAGGTTGGTTTACCAAAAGTCAGGCATCCTGCATAGATGGGAAGACTTCTTGTGTGCTACAGGGACTGCTTCTAGGGCAAGTCTTATGGCAGGAAAAATTGCCTCTGTTATTTCTAGTGGGATTAGGACAGTTTGCCTGAGTAAGCGTTTAGTTTATGTAGATGGTTCTGAATAATTTGGGCCATAGCCTTGGCCAAATAATAACAAACCAGGAATATTTCTGATCAATTTGCTGATAGACTGATCTACTTTCTACTTCTTCAGTTTAAAAATTACTTCTTGATGGACCTGTCACTTATTAGCAGATAGAGAAGGCAAAATAGCATAGCATATGCAATTCTAGCACAGTTACTCCTTTTACAGAGGAAGGACACGACAGCCAAGGACAGTAACAATGAAGAACAAACAAGTTTTGTAACAGTGTTCAAATCAGTAGTCCATGTATGATAGCTGGATAAGCTTGCGCAGTGATGACAAAAGTGATTTCATGATTTGGAAAAAAACACTGTGTGCCTTTCCCAGGTGGCTGCCCTAACTACAGTGTACAGTAACTCTTGGAAGCTGCTGATGACTGACCATAACACTCCAACATGGCAAATTGCTTGTCAGCACTGTGAATACATCCATTATTTGGAGCTCAAGCAGCATTAATCTGTTCCTGTCTCAACCACAAAATCACACTACGCCTGAGTTTGGTCCATGAAAAATATTACAGCATCCACTTCACCCATCCAATCTGTGACTGCTTCTGTGCCTGAGCACATGCAATCAATCACTGCTGCGAACACGGCCCAGGCGCGATCTCCTGCCTCATGCAGTGCAGGGTGGAGTGAAAAGCATGGCCCAAGCTGACTTCTGGAGCAGAGTGAGTTACTCCAGTGTCACCAACACGTGACAGACTGCACTTTTTACGGAAGCAGGCTCAATGCAGTTGTGTGCTTACATCCATGCCTCCATAAAGGAATTAAAATGGAGCGTTTCCAGATCAAATTCAGTAACTCTTTGTAATGATCAGTAGTTGAATTAGCAAGTGGATGTGGATGACAGCCCATATTTCAAGCCAGTTAAAAACATGCGCACAGGTAAATGAACTGAATGCAATTATTATTTAATATCTAATTCTGAAGAGTGGCCCAAAGCCACCAATTCAACACTTGCTGCCTTATATCAGTTGGTATGTTACCACTGTGAAGACAACTCCTTCCAGGAGCGAGCATCAGTAGATGTTTATATAAGCTGTTAGTTCCACTGAACACAGAGAATATGCTCTACTCACCAGTGAATATGATCTTGCAACCTTTATTTTTTAAATGAGTATTTGTATTGTTTGTGAAAATGATGTTGAAGCAGAAAACAGTAGGTGCCAGCTGTTGCAGAAAAAAAAAAGAGCATGGGCTCTTAGAAACATTTTCCTTGAATGATAGCCTCTAGCGATCATCTTGCAATGTTTCAGTGGCTTGGATTTAGTATTCAACAAAAAGCTTTTAGAAGGATGCTGACACATGATTTTTCTGTATTCTGTGGTGATATTAATCTATATTGCATATGAAAATGGTGTATATGTATGTATTAGGTGTAGCTTCCTAGGTAGGCTCTTTAGAACAAGAAGTCTAAACAGCCTAAGTCTAACAACAAGCATCAGCCTGAGGAGAACTTCACACCTGCTGGAATGGAGAAGATGTTCATGCCATGAGCATATTGCCTTTGTCTTACTCATCCGAGCTTGACGGCTCATCTCCCAAGTCTCTCGCTCTTGACACTAGTGAGATCACTCATGCAACTGGACAAGAAACCCACCCCAGGGGTGCTGTCTGTGGAGTGACGATTCCCAGGTAGGTAGTCCTTCACAGAAGTTAAACAAAAGATCAGTTCCCTTTGCAATCAGGTATGATACATACAGAGCCATTTTAATGTCATGTATATTCCAAACTTTCCATGACATTGCAGCAAAGTCCAGTTTGTGTCCAATCAGGAGTAATTGCTATTAACAGATGAGCCATAGGAAGGTCATTCTGAGTTTTTCCTGTTAAATTCCACATTTAGAGGCAGTTGGGTAAAAATTTATTTCATCTAAGTTAAGGGTGACAGACTTAACCTGTTAAATATGCTGTCAGATGACATCCTTTTTGAACAAGACAATGATCTTAGTTGACAGCTTGATGCATTTACTGGCCAGCTGAATCCAAGACAATAAATCCTGGCCTGGAAAACCCCATATTACTGCTGATGGAAGTGCCAAGGCCAAGCCCAGACCGTGGGGATGATTGGCGATGGTTGGCCATGGTTGACATGGTTTAGCACAGCACACGTGCAGCACAGCTCAGGCAAGGACTAAGGCTGAGGGCCCCAGCATAGCTCCCAAATCGATGTGTGCAGGCCCCAGCTGAGGCTTCTGGCAGCTCTTCCTCACACCACTTTCCCCACAGTGACCAGCTCAGCGTCACTGGGCTGCCCCACATCAGAGCTGGCCTGGAGCACGGGTGGCCAAGCTCCCAGGGGGAGCGGGGGGAAGTGGCTGCAGGGGAGCCAGTACAGAGAAAGGCCGGTACAGGTTGGTTGTGCTGATTAGAACTTGCTGGTGCATTCAGGGCTGTGACAGGACTCGGTAACCTCACAGCTGCCATTATGGGCAATTAAATCTGATGGCAACAGGGAAATTGAAGAGCAAGGAACGTATGTGGAGGAAGTTACGAGAGAACAGAGAAGTCAGAGCAACTGCTTTTACAGCTTGCTGAGACAAAGAGTGGTTTGCACAGCAGCAATAAATAATTTATAAATTCCCTGTGAGTGAACAGTCAATAGCACTACTGGGATTTTGAGAAAGGAACATCAACTACTTTAACTTACTTCCATGTGAAGTAAAAAACCAGGTGTCCTGTCGGGTTGTCCCTTGCATTTGCTATGCTGGGCATCTCATGGCATGAGTTGCCATGGCATTTGAAAGCCCACACACAAGTGGGCAATGCGCACCAGTTTCAGTGGCCAGATGCACCCTGTCTAGCTCCCTGTGGGCCCTGCACCTCTCGACAGCCAGGGTCCCCAGAGGCTGCCTCTGTGGGAACTCCCAGGGCTTGCAACCCACCGCCTGCAGCAGCCTGTGTATGCACCGGGGCTGTATGTGTCACATGAGCACAGATTCC